AGTCATTTAATCTCAGCCAGTATAGCTTTTCATCATGAAGAGCTCTGGGACTGTGGTTTGTTCCAGTTCACATCAATAGCAATACAGCTGTCTGAAGACACATCAATACTAATAGCTGCTCACAGTGTCTATTGCTCTGTGGTAATTTTCCAAGATCACAGTTATGCGATATTGTTGTGTGTACATCTACTGTAACTAAAAGCTGTGTGTCTCTGGTAAACATTTTCCAAATTACATTTCTATCCCAGATTTATCCTGTAATTGCATACTGGACATTTAAAAATAAAAAAATGTGGAGTGTAACATGATGTAGTATTTTAAAAATTACATTTATGTTTATAAGTGAAAAATGTTCATTGAGATTATGAAAATGTGCTGCTTGTCAGAAAAAAATGTGAGTGTTTTTGGTCATATACTCTTTGCTACCTTTCATCTGGATTACAGAGAACTGTTCCCATCTCAATAAGCTGATTCTACCTCAGTATGTAGAAACAGGGGGCTGGCCTCAGATCAAAACCTGAAAGATCAGCAATCTTTACTGAAATTAACATCAAACTTAGAGATTAAAGCTCTAGTGAAAATGAAGAGTCCCAGAAGAAAACCAAGAAATTCAAATGCTTCTATACGCTTGTTGAGCCAACACAAATGTAATTATTCTACAAGTGAAAGACAAATTAGGAGATGTGAGAAAGATCACTGTGGCCCCAGAAAAAAACAAGATCCTACAAAGATAATAATTAGATAGGAACAGTAAAATTTTATAGGACATGAAATTATGGTAGTCAAGCTCTGAAATATTAGTTAGTTCATAAAACATAGTTCATGCTATAAAACCTTCAAGTTTCAGTAAATGTATACAAACCACAACTAGAGACAAACAGTATGTTCTGCCCATTGCACAGCAGAAAACAACAGATTATGAGAACTTTTTCCCTAGCAATACAACAGGAATTTCATTTTAATATCCCACGATTATTACCATAATTGGAAATACATTAATATGTGTTTAGAGGTTTCTGGATTTCTTTTACAAACTTTCTATAACTTCAGAGGAACTGGACCACTTATTATCTTGGTGAAAGTTAAAGAAATCAAGAAAACACCTATTATGTGGGCTACATTATTTAGAATGCATTATTTTTGGTGATTTTTTCATCAAAATGCAACTCCAGCCAATTAAAAAAAATCTAATTCAATTTCTGGTGGAAATGGAAGCAAATAATTCCACATCTCAAAATAATTCATAGCCCTTTGTCAACCATATACTTCCTTGCCCAGAAAGAGATAAAAAATATCAAATGTCAGCATCCTGGCAAAATTAATTCTTAATTAATGTCATGTACCAATATTTGTTTATATATTTAAGTATCTGACAACATGTTACTTTTCAAAGAGCTGCGTGATTAGCTTCTATACAGAGCTTATGTTTCTTATTTAGGATATACCCAGAAAAGAAGGTTGAATATTTCTTAATACATCGAGACTTTCAAAAGAACCGTCAATCCATATCTTCAGTTCTTAATAGATAGAGCTTCCTCTGCTCCAGCTCTTCCCTTACTGCAAAATACAGGCTGATGGAAACTGAAGAACACAGCTATATATATTTTAGTCAGTGACCTTGTAAATCTGAGGGAAAGATCTAAACTATGAATGATAATAACCTATGGTTTTTATAAAAAAAAATCTGTAGAAGATGAATATCTATTCAAAATAGCTGTAGTTCATCTGAAGAATGGATCTACAAGTCTGTATGTCCCCAAATAGATGTTTGAATTTATGTTCAGAATATTATAAAAACGTCATTTCTCCTCTTATGCTTTCTGCTATGAGTAACTGTGTTGCTGTAAATCTTGCTTAAATGTGTTTGACACATAGTTTGACAATTCCTAGTGGTAGAAGAAGAGGTCTTACGTTTGCACAGCTACACGTAATTGTGGCCACAGAGGCCACAAGAACAGCAAAGTGTATCTCATCTTTTAATTCTCCAGGCATGCAAGAGACTTACAAAGCTGAGAAGGGTCTGGTCCTTAGCAACAGGAATTGTAATATAGAGTACTGATTAAATCATTTTATGATATTGCTAAGTGTCCTGAGCGCAGTAAAATACAATGATTTTACTTTCTTTTTTTTTTTTAATAGACCTATTTCTTTTCACCCTACCTGTTCTTTAGTAAAATAACTTACATCATCTTTTTGAGGTAGAAAGATGTAGAAAATCTTTTGCAGTAATGACTGATGGACAAGATGTATCCTCCAATTAAATGTTATCTCTGTAGCCTTTTCCATAATGCTCCTTCTGTATCTTCTTGTGCCTTTTTAGCTTGCCTAATCCTTGCATAGATAAATTCTGTGCTGTATTTCTTACATTACCCTTCCAGAGTATGTACAGGATTGTAAGATAACCTATTAGACTGTTGAAGAACTTGGATTTTTTCATTTTACATCCTATAAAGAAGCAGCTTCTTCAGTGCTGCCAGTCTATATGGAATATTTGGTATTTTAGATTTTTTTTGGCTATCACCTTTAGTGTTTTTCTTTCCAATGTCACATTCAATCTGCATGACATCAGCATGTCACCAACAGAACAGATGTCACTTTATTGCAGTCTTTTTCTTCCTTTTTTTTTTTTTTTTTTTTCATTCTAATTAGTGATCTACTCTTTCTTGATATGCTACAATTTACTTGCAGCAATATAGGCACTCTGATGGGGACAGGGTGATATAACCGAGAGTGACAGCCAACAGAGTGGCAATAATCTACTAAAATATTTGAAACTGAAAAGAAAATTTATCTCAGTCAAGTAAGCAGCCTGAAGGATCAAAGGATGCCAGACAGTCTTGTCAGAAAAACAGAAGTTGTTGTACAACAAAATGGTACTTGTTAATAGCTACTTGGATTGCTAGAAGCAATCACACTGTAATGACTGAGGAGGTCAGTGTAAGAACGCTCTGATTTCTTTTAACGTTGCATTAACAATCAGTTTAAAATTGGTTAAAATGTATGTATATATTTAAACACCGGGCCCAGATCTTTTACTTCAATTTGGTACAGGATGGGGCTTCTTTCAGAGTGCCTGACATGGTGTCACATTCTAATAACATGGCTGCTTGTAGTAGGGGGCTCAGAATGCCATATGTAATTAAAATCTCTATTTTGAGATACATTCTCTAGTTTATTCATGCAGAGAAGTCATTTTACCTCTTGAACTTTCTGCTGGACTGAACAAAATGAGTGAAAATGTATTATTGCAGTCCTTACATTTGAGTGAATTGTGGCTGCAACTGAAATTACCACAATCTCCTGTATCCTTCATGTTAATTTATTTGTAATGCACATGGTCAAACCATTCCATTTTGGATATTTACTTCTTTTTGTTTAGATTTATAGTGAACTTGAAAAATTAATGAAGTGGAAAATCAAAGCTTTCTAGGGCACTTTAATCTGATAAAAAATACCGCAACTGCAATGCTTCATGCAGACCCAGGTTTTAAAATGGTAAGATATTTACTTAGCAAAACAATTTTGTTCATCTGGTTAATTACTTTGTAAGGCAAGGAACAATTTAACTGAAAACATAAGTGTAAGCCCATACATTACTGAGGCAGCACACATTTACCAACATTTTGTCCTTGGAAAAACAAGAGATCCTAAGGAAATTTAATGACCTAACAGTAAAAAGAGCTTAGGGCTTTTAAGGGCTGTTAGATTTCTTCAGTTCTGCTCGATCTCATTGGGAGCTGAAAGTATCAAAAGCCTCCTGGGTGGCGTCCTACCTGTTTAAGCTTGACCTCATTCAAAAAAGATTTGGTTTTGCTGATACTTTCAAAAGCCTGGAGTCTGACAAAGCACTTGCGAGAAGGTGGAAGGCGTTCGTAAACACAAAGTACCTCTGGGGGCTGGAAACACTCAGAGGGTTATTATAAGGAGTTCTGTCAGAGATTGCAATTAAGTCTAGCACGACACTGAGAGACAAAAGAGTAGCACATCACTCAGAAATTATTAAAAGTCAGGTAAATGAACAGTGGATCTGAAAAAGCTTGTAAAGGCGAGTCATAAATGTGACTAACCAAAGAGAACAACAAAGGAAAATAAGCACTCATGGACAAATTTAGAGATTACTCTGAGAAACAGATGGTAGAGAAGAGCCACGTGAGAAACTGTAGACCGCAAAATGTAAATTTAGAAAGCAGCAGAGGAACAGGTCATGCTGTGGTGGTGGGCAGAGCAAAGGGATTCAAAGGTACACACAGCCTGATGCTTCTGCAGGCACAATCACATATAAGGACGATGCTGGCCAAGCAGTACAAGGTGAATTTGCTAATCCAAGGCCATCTGCAAATAAAACTAATTTGCAAGCATCTAGGAGAGTACGTAACACGGCTTTTCCAAAGAAATCAGCCGTGGTTCTTGTTGATGTGCTCTCTTTGCCCCCACTAGATTGATGCGACCTTTAGGAGTAACATGAATGTCTGGGAAAACAAAGCTATTACCTACATTATGGCTTTCTGACTGAGAATAAATGTGAGCACAGAGCTGATAAAATTGGAAGTCACATGAACTCTTAGTCATATATAAATATATATATATATTTCTTTTTTTCCCAAAAATGATCTATAGCATTATGCTGACACATTTTAGCAGGGCAGGCTGAGGGGAGGCCTGACGGCGGCTGCAGCTCCTCACAGGGAGCGGAGGGCAGCGCTGAGCTCTGCTCTGTGTGACAGCGACAGGGCCCGAGGGAACGGCATGGAGCTGCGGCAGGGGAGGGCAGCTGGGGTGAGGGAAAGGGTCTGCGCCAGAGGGCGGTGAGCATGGGACAGCCTGCTGTGGGCACGGCCCCGAGTGTCGGAGCTCAAGGAGCGCTTGGACAGCACTCTCAGACATCGGGATTGGTTGTTGGATGGTGGTGTGGAGCCAGGGGTAGGACTCGCGGGGGGGTGGGAGGTGGGGAGGGACAGGAGAGGAAAGCGCTGCCCGCCGCGCTATGTCCCTCGGCGGCCGCCGTAGCCGCCGCTCCTCCCACCGGTAGCAGCCGGGGCTGCGCGGGGCGGTGGAACGGCGCGCTTTTCAACCGCCATGAGCCTGTGGGTGGACAAGTACCGGCCCAGCGCCCTCAGCCGCCTGGACTTCCACCGCGAGCAGGCGGCGCAGCTCCGCAGCCTGGTGAGGGGCCCGGCCGTGGCCTTCAGGACCCCGTTGTGCGGGTTGGCCCTGCAGGGGTCGTGGAAAGGGGGGGGGAACGACGTGCCGGCGGATTGGCGTTGCCCGTGTTGTACGTGGAGGGGTCGGTGCTTTTGAGAGCAGGGCTTGTCTTCTTCAGCTGACGTCAGGCGGAGGTCTGAAGCGAGCCTCGATGAAACCTGGGGCTGTGAAGTTGTGAGGGTTCAGGGAGACAGTCGAGGTCAGGCTGGAGCGGCTCTGAGCACCTGAGGGAGCTGAGTGCGTGTATATATTACACCTCTAAGCTTTGCCTTCTTCCTTTTCCCTCCTTGCCCCCTCCTTGAAAGCCTTCAAGGCCAGGCTGGGTGCGGCTGTGAGCAACCTTGTCTAGAGGGAGGTGTCCATGCCTATAGCAGGGGTTGGAACTAGATGATCTTAAAGGTCCCTTCCACCCCAAACCGTTCTGTGATTCTGTGTTTATTGTGGTAATGGCAGCAAGCTGTGTCAGGGGAGGTTCAGATTGGATGTTAGGAAAATATTCTCAGAATGAATGGTGAGGTATTGGCTCAGGGAAGTGGTGGAGTCACCCTCCCTGAGGTGTTACAAGAACCGTGTGAGTGTGGCACTGAGGGCCGTAGTTTAGTGTGCGTGGTGGTGGTGGGCTGGTGGTTGGACTGAGTGAATTTAGATGATGATCAAAATGATCATCAGGATGTTCTTGACCTTTTCCAACTGTTATGAATCTAGATTCCTTTTTTTTGTTGTTTTTTTTTTTGTTGTTGTTTTTGAGGTTTATAGGTAAATGAAGCTATACATTGTCTTGATGGGAAATTTCAGAGAAAATATTAATGCAGGAAAGGAGTTAAGTTCTTAATTTACATAATGAGTTAGGACTGAGTTGTACAAGAAAAAACATGTAATGTGAACTTGTCTGACAATGCACTGTGTGATAATTCTGTTTACAAGGGCAGGTAGTGATAGGACAAAGGGGAATAATTTTAAACTGAGACAGGAGAGGTTTAGGTTAGATATTAGGAGGAATTTTTTCACACAGAGGGCATTGGAACAGGTTGCCCAAGGAGGAGGTTGTGGATGCCCCATCCCTGGAGGCATTCAAGGCCAGGCTGGATGTGGCTCTGGGCAGCCTGGTCTGGTGGTTGGTGACCCTGCACATAGAAGGGGGTTGAAACCACATGATCATTGTGGTCCTCTTCAACCCAGCCCAATCTATGTTTCTATGAATGCATAAACAAATGTTCTCTTGCAACTTAAGGAAAATACTGTTGAAACTAATTGATCTTATTGCTTTGTGTTCAGGTTCAGTGTGGTGACTTCCCTCATCTGTTGGTGTATGGGCCATCAGGAGCTGGGAAGAAGACAAGGATAATGTGCCTGTTAAGAGAATTATATGGTGCAGGTGTGGAGAAACTGAGGATTGAGCATCAGAGTATAACGGTAGAAAAAATAACTTTCCTCTCCTGCTAAGCACTGTAGACATTTGTATACTGACATGTTTCTTTTGTGAGACCTTTATATGAGTTTTAATATATATGTATTTATTTTTTCTGTACTCAGTATCTTTTACCTCATTTATGCGATTAGTGATGCTGGTTTTGTTACTTGAATAGATAACTTTTACCATTGTTAATGGATATTCTTGTTCCTTAGGTGTTTGTGGATGGGTTTGATTTGTTTTTATTTCTTTTAGCAGTTTGAACAATAACATATATAATAGACTAGTAGAGATTTCAATTTTCTGTAAAGGTAACCCTTAATTTTAAATTAAGCACTGCTTTTCTCATACATGCAATTTATAACTTCTGTTCTCATTCCCATAATGACAATTTCAGCATTAATTAGTTTAAGCTGTTGTGGGTTTTTTTGATCTGCCTTGGTCTTAAGCATTTAATACAACCTTCCAGTAGTAACTATTTATCTACTCAAAATTCTTATTATGGAAAACTTAACCAGCAAGGAATTACCAAATCCTATTTATAGGTTGTTGTGAAGAAAAAAACAATAGTGGAACAAATATAATACCTGGATGATGCAGTAATAGGAGCTGTATGTTGCTATAATTACTGTTCTACAGGCTGAATGATGCATCAGTGCTCCTTTTCTCCTTTACCTCCTTCTGGGATAGGAGATGCATAGGAGCAGTGTCTTAGTGTTCGTTTGATCTGAGATGTAACAACTTATAATCTGCAAGGTTTCTTTTCTTGAAGAGTTCTTCAGATACTAATTTATTATGGTTACTTTCTACACAGGCACCTTCTAAAAAGAAAATTGAAATTAGCACGATTGCAAGTAATTACCACCTTGAAGTTAACCCAAGGTAAGTGTACTCGAAAAAGAAGTCCCACATGCAATGTGATCACTGTCTTATATTTGAAGTGGTTTTGAGATGAGTATATAAGGGCCTGACTGCTCAATTTATTGCCTGAGCAAATCAGATAATGATTTGAAGTTTGGGTTGCAAATAAGGGCAGGGAAAGGAGTTTTAATTACTCAGCTCTGAGTGAGCAGAGAACTTGGATTTCTGTGTATTTAGCAGTAATGTTCTGCTTGCCTCGCCACATAAGTGTGCAGATAGTGAGGACTAGCTACCCAGGAACAATTCTTGTTTACCCATTTATGTTGCAACCAGAAACTGCTGTTTGAATCAGTGGTCCTAAGTCATTACTTCTGTCACAAACACAAAAATAAAGTGACTTGAAGCAAGGTTTACCCTGTAAGTCTTAAAATGGTATGGAGCAGGGAGGTGTATTTCCCCTTTTCTAAAAGAAAAACGGTAATAACAACAGAAATGCTCACAAAATACTGGGAGTCCTGTCATGAAGGAGGAAAGCTGTTGAGTTAAATAGCAGGAGCTATAATGCTGTCCTGTATGTCATCTTTGACAGTAGTGGAATTGCTGGTGACAGTTCAGTGGCCCAAAGTAATACTTAAATTTACCTGAAGCTCTTTAATGTTGCTTTAAATCACACGACAGCAAATGTCTGTATGCAGCAGTAGGCTTTGGTTATGGTGGCTTTGTTTCCAGAGTTGAAATTCTAAGACTGTGTGTATCCTGAAGTAACTTCTAGCATTGTGCTAATTACTAAATGTTTTCTCATGTTGCTTTATGTTTTCCAAGCTGTTTTCATGTGTTCCTTTAAAAACTTGTGCTGCTGTTGGTCTCTGTATATTGATCAGTGGGTATCTGCTGGTGTTCACTTCAAATAAGTGAAGCTGAGGCTTTTGCTAATAAACTGTATACACAAGAATAAACAAAAATAAATGTTACTTTGGTGATGTGAGAGATGTCTTCTGATCTGTTTAACCAAATACTACAAATGCTTGTTAATTGTTAGAGTAACTTCAATTTGAAACATAGTAATAAATATGTATGTTACTTATATTAAAAAAAATCCTAAAATTGTGGAATTGCTGCATTGTATTATATACAATGACTGAGTTGTAAGAGTTAATGCATGGACTCTAAGCAATTGGACAGTTGCTGCATTTATGTCTGACTAGCCAGTGAACCTGTATGTGTTGTGTTCATGTTTATCAGTTTGGTCTGCAAATTTTGACTGAATTATAATACTGTGAAATTGCGTAGTGTATCCTTTGGAACGTGATAAATGGCTATCGGGGAAAGGAAATTAGCTTCTGGAAAAGGGTAGGATACTACAGACACTGAATTCATTATGGAACTTTACTAGACAGAGTCATTCTTTTTTCTCCAAAAGGAGACTGTCATCTTAATTCCGAAGCCTTGCCTGCTGGTTGCTTGAACAGTAGTTACTTGAGTAGTTATTTGAGCTGGATGCATTCAAGGTCAGGCTGGATGTGGCTCTGGGCAGCCTAGTCTGGTGGTTGGTGACCCTGCACATAGCAGGGGGGTTGAAATTAGATGATCTTTATTGTCCTTTTCAACCCAGGCCATTCTATAAAATAGATCCCCCTGAGTAACTGGGAAGTGAAAGAATAAGGAACAGTGAAAAGTATGTTTGTGGGTGAAGTTAACTTTTTGCATATTGTTTTCCTGGATTATTTGCTCTAGTTGCATAGTATCAGTGATAGTCTTTCAGTATGAAATTATGACCTGGGATTCTTTGTTAGTGCAGAAAGCACTTTAAATGCTAGGAAAGTATTTTAAAAACTTTTTCATTTCCAAAAGCTGGTACAACTCAGAGTAGAAGTAGATTGCGTAAACGTTGGAGTCTTTGCTTTTTCCCTCTGTAATTGCAGATAAGATTCTGAAAGAAACATCTCTAGGACTGAGTAGGCAAGGAGCCGCCTGCTCCTTTGCAAGGAAAGGAAAGGTCTAGTTGAGTAGTGACTTGAACAAGACAAACAAATGCTTTCTTCACTTGCTTGACAGTGAAATGTTGCAGAGCTGCTTCCTCTTTTCTTTGCTGCGTCAGTAATCTAGCTTGCAAGTCAGCCCCCGTGACTGTTGTGTCTAGCTGACCTAGATACAGCCTAGGGACTAAGAAAACTGCTCACTGCCACTGTGGGTGGTAGTATGGTGAAGAGCTAGGAAGATCACCTTTATATTTCCTCATGTTTTCCTGACTTTGAGAGAAACAAGTTAACCACCTGTGCAATATCTGTCTTTCATTAGTAACTTCTTAGAACTTCAGAGTGCCTGCCATTCGAGTTTATGTTAGGCATGTAGTTTTAACGGAAAATGCAGTTAGATCAGTCCTTTGAGGTAGTCACCCTTCCCTGTGGTTAGACTTAATTTTTCTTGCTGTAATCATGGGCAAAAACTTTCACAGTAGATATCTGTCCAAACTGCATGTGATAAGACTTGATTTTTTTTATACCACAAAAAGTTTTTGTTTTGATGAGCTGATTAAAATCATCTGACAACAGTTTTGCCACTTTCCAAAACAGTGCAGCTAATCCAGCTGTGCCTTCACAAGCTCTGGGATTTTTATCACAGGAAGGTAATTTCTATAAAATATGTTTTGAGGTTAATTCTAACCTTGATATCTTCTGAAATATTTTGTCTTTGTTGATCATAAGACCGTGGTTTTCATATGCTGTATAAAGTTGTTGTTCTAAAAGTTCTGTTTGAACTCTTAACTTAGTGATGCTGGAAATAATGACCGTGTAGTGATTCAGGAACTCTTGAAGACAGTAGCACAATCCCAGCAACTTGAAACAAGTACTCAACGAGACTTTAAAGGTGAGTAAAAGCAGTTAAACCTAGTCCAAATATTAATTAAACTTTTTAAAAAGATTTCAGGTGATTGTTTTGTGTGTACATGTGTCTTGTATGTGAATACAAGTAAACCTTTGTCAAGTTAACCAAGTTGGTGCTTTTCTTTTTCTGTGGAAAGTTTGTGGTTGAATACTCAATATGAGGTTGTATCTTGTGTTGGTTTCTTAGAAAGACTGGATGTAGCTGAATGACAGTGGCTGGGCAAATGGAATTAGGATTCCCACTGTTTTCTTTCAAGTCTACCACTTAAATGCACTGTAACTCAATTTGGTGATCTACAGTAGTTATTGATGCTTAATATTAAATTGAGGGGCAGGAAAGCATTAAACTGAAACAAAGGAGGTTTAGGTTAGATATTAGGAGGAAGTTTTTCACACAGAGGGTGGTGACACATTGGAACAGGTCGCCCAAGGAAGTCGTGGATGCCCCATCCCTGGAGGCATTCAAGGCCAGGTTGGATGTGGCTCTGGGCAGCCTGGGCTGGTGGTTGGTGACCCTGCATGTAGCAGGAGGGTTGAAACTCAATGATCATTGTGGTCCTTTTCAACCCAGGCCATTCTATGATTCTGTGATTATGTAAATGGTGCTGTGTTGAGTTAGTTGCTTATTTGGAGGATGAGGTGCCTTGAGCTGTATTGAGCAGAAGGTTCATAAGCATTTTATCTGCAATGTACAGCAGGATTCTGAGTAAGAAAATAAAGATGGCTTTCACTGAGTTTAAGACACTTGTTTCTACAACTGATTTATTTTTCCTGTTGTAAACTAAATTAAGAGCAAAACCAGAACTATATAACAAGAAATTGAAGGAAAGAGGAAATCTTGAGAAGAAAATAATTGACAATGGTCTTGAACTTTGATGTTTTTTGTCTCACTTTTGTTACTGTTCTTGGTCACACCATGTTATGTCAAAATAGCTGGTAAATTGTCTGGTCTCAGGCCCCATATGTCTCCAGAGAAGACATAGGAGAAGAGTACAGGATTGACTAATTCCTCCAGGCTGTTCTCAGGGGCCTTTTCAGAGTACTGAAATGATTCATCTATGAGTTGCCTGCCTATGGAGGAACCTGCAGAAAGTAGCTACAAGAGTTAGTAGCTTCATATCAGGTATCTCCTGATTGTTGCAAAGTATTTTTGAAATGTTTTTCTCTTCCCTTGAAATACCATGAAATGTCCTGCAACTACTATAACACAACAGTTTTTTGTCACTTCTTTGCTAAGATAAAACATCAGCTTTAAATATAAAATATAATGGGGGGAGTCTTCAGGAAATGTGTGCTTTTTTGATATGACCTTATGCCATAAATGCTTTTTGTGTTTCTCACATGGAATTCCTTTAAAAAGTTATTGTACTTGTTATCAGGGTGAAAGCTTCCACACCTACCTGAATTACTTCTTGGCACTGAAGTGTTGCAGTCCTGCTCTGAAGAAAATTCTATAATGTGGGTATAGAGTATGAGGGAGGAGCAGATTACACAGTCAAAAAAGCACACAGATTGTCTTAATATTGCTTTGGCTTCCTGTCTGTGGAACTGTGGTACCTCTCTGCTGCTTGTGTGATTCATTTTAGCATTATCACTTTAACATAAAAGTACACCTTTTATTAAGGAGTTCAGTATGCTTCTTTTTACTTTTTCAGTGGTGCTGTTAACAGAAGTCGACAAGCTCACTAAAGATGCCCAGCATGCTTTGCGAAGAACAATGGAGAAGTACATGGCAACCTGCAGACTTATCCTGTGCTGCAACTCCATATCAAAAATTATAGGACCTATTCAAAGCAGATGCCTGACTGTACGAGTGCCTGCTCCCAGCATTGAAGATGTACGTTGAAACAGAAGCAGAAATCAATCCTTTAAAACTTCTTACCAGATAAGTTCTTGTTGTGGGCTTAGGTAATATTTTATTTCTACAAAGTAACCTAGTATTTAGTGGTGGGTGACTTGTCAAGCATGTTTCATGATAGCTCAGTCCATCTCTGCTTTAGAAATATTTCAAGTAGGTGAATCTGTAGGTGCTAAACTGTTTGCTGAATGTCCCATCTAGATCTGCCATGTGTTGTCCAGTGTGTGTAAGAAAGAGGGCCTGACTCTTCCTCAGGAACTGGCTCAAAGGCTTGCAGAGAAATCTGGCAGGAATCTTCGGAAAGCACTGCTTATGTGTGAGTCTTGCAGAGTGCAACAGTAAGTGGCTCCTAATAATTAATTTAAGCTATGCTTTTAGGCATATGAATCAACTTTGTGTATCATTGTTAGACCAGACGACAAAGTTTGCTTTATTACCTTCAATGTAGGTATCCTTTCAGTGCTGATCAAGACATTCCTGAGATGGACTGGGAAATTTATCTGAGAGAAACTGCAAATGCTATTGTCAGTCAACAGACACCACAAAGGTAGATGAATATACTCATAGCTACAAATTGCACTTGTTTGTTTACTTTATGCTGAATGCTAAAGATGCTGTGTTTTTTAAGTATTGCATTTCTTGTAATCTGTAATTTTCTGGCACTTCACTAGACTTTGTAATTTAGTAGATAAATATACAAGATTACAAACAGCCTGCATGAAACTGTAGTAAGTCTCTGCTATTTATGTATTATTAGTGACACTTGTTTTTGGAATGCTATATCCATTTCTAAGTATCGTACTGAAAATTCTAAGTGAATGCTGGAGTCTGCAGAAGTTGGCCAAAAATGCTCAGAGAACGGAGAACGTTACCTCTATGAAAAGAATTATATTTAGAGAGTGGGGAGATACAGAAGGACTTGAAGAATAGCCCTTTTTCTGATTGTCATGGTAGGAAAGCTCATAAATAATAAATAAAGAGTAAATTATAGTAATCTTAAGCATCAGAGATGGATTGTCTTGAATGTTTGTGAGTTTTTAGGTCTCTTTTAACTCTATATTCAGTTCTTTTGTTAAATTGAAGTGATTTCTTTGCTTCGGTCTGATGCTGAACTTTCTCTGCATCTTCTGTGCAATCTGTTGCAGCTTTGTATTCAAAAGTGAGCATAAGCTTAGTTGAGTGCTATGCTTTTTATTTTTCAATATTTAAAGCTTTTGTTTCACCACCTCTATCATAACATGATTTTGTGATGTAATTTAATGTGAAATAATAAATGAGTGATTTCTTTTTCAAGAGCAGTGGGAGATGCCCTCTATATTCGTCCAACTAAGAATAGATGGAAAGTGGAATTAAAGGAGGGAAAGCCTGAGACAAATTCTGATAGCCTTGTATCTTCAAAGTTAGCTGTAAATTACAAAAGCATGTAAATATGCTCTATATTTCATACTTTATTGTTTTGAACAAAAGGTGATATGTATTATTTGAGTTGAAACTATCCAAGATGCAATGCTTCTGGTTTTAGAATCTACAAGAAAAGAATCCTCTACCTGGGTTGCTTTCTTTTTTTCCTGCTCTGTGACATACTTCACAAGTAGTGAAAATGAAAATATCTTTGTGGATATGCATCTGATATTTCATGGTCTCTCCAACAGACTTCTAGAGGTTCGTGGACGGCTCTATGAACTCCTAACACACTGCATTCCTCCTGAGATTATAATGAAGGTATTCTAGCTCTTAACTGTAGTATAGATATTACACTGATAATCTTAATTAAAAACAAATAAAAATAGAAATCAAAATCATCCAGATATTGAAGAAAACATTTGCTCTTTCCAAATGGATGTGAGTGACTTTATGATGCTTTTGTGTTTCTTTCTACTAAGTAACCAAAATAGTTCAAGTTGTTGCTTTGAAGCACTGGCTGAAGACCTTGTTCCTGCACATGTAGATACATAACATTCAATTCTAATTATTCTGAGTAGATCTACTGGACTGTTATGTTCATAGCTGTTCATCTGGATCCTGATTGAGTTGCGTAGCTTTTGAGGGCAGGAAGATTCTGTTCTCTAACTTATAAATAAACCAGACGTTTTCCATCTCAGGCTTCCTTGTTCAGATATCTGAGTGATTTATTAAAACTTACTGTGTCATTGATGGCAAAACTGAGTATAAAAAAAAAAAATGGAGGACACACTTTGTCCACCTGAGAACTTCTATGCTGTGTTTCTGTATTGAAGCACAATGGACTAAATTTGATCAAGTTTGTTCTTTTTGGTAAAATGTTGTGAAATATTCAGAAGTTATGTTTTCTTCATTGAAATTCAGGACTAGAGCAGCAGGTTTCTTGTCCAAAGAAACTAAATCCACAAAAGCCTCCCACTAAATAGGATGTGTATGTTCTTGTATTAGGGAGGTGCTGGAAGAAAGGGCGGGGGGAGGAATAAAAAGAGCAGCTAGTGTTTTCAGTTACCCTAGCTGGACATTGCTGGACATGATAGCTAGACAATATGGGTTTTTTGGGTCATACTAACTGACTTCTGTGTTGTTCGCATTTTGCTTTAATCTTACTTGCTAATAGTGGGATAGTGCATCCTGCATTGTCCTCTCATTAGAGTACGCCTTCAGCATGAAGACTATTCCTTCCTTCCTTAACTTCATATGTGCTTATGATGCTACTTGCTTAATCCCAAGTTGTAAAGATTTGCAGAGATTTTCTTGCAACTAGAAGTGCATTTTTTTTCCCTCATAAGTGAAGTACTGTAAAGTATCTTGTGTCCATACATGCATCTGTACATAAGCTTTAAATAAGCCCTTTCCTTACAGAGTGGCCTGGGTTGGAAGTGACCTTAAGGATCGTCAATCTCCAACCCCCCCTGCTACATGCAGGGCCACCAACCTCCACATTTAATACTAGACCAGGCTGCCAAGGGCCCCATCCAGCCTGGCCTTGAACACCTCCAGGGACGGGGCATCCACAACCTCTCTGGGCAGCCTGTTCCAGCACCTCACAACTCTCATAGTAAAGAACTTCCCCCTGACATCCAACCTAAACCTTCTCTCCCTCAATTTAAAACCATTTCCCCTTGCCTTGCTGTTATCTACCCTTTCAA